TCAACTAAGCTGATGAGCTAACTCAACTAAGCTGATGAGCTAACTCAACTAAGCTGATGAGCTAACTCAACTAAGCTGATGAGCTAACTCAACTAAGCTGATGAGCTAACTCAACTAAGCTGATGAGCTAACTCAACTAAGCTGATGAGCTAACTCAACTAAGCTGATGAGCTAACTCAACTAAGCTGATGAGCTAACTCAACTAAGCTGATGAGCTAACTCAACTAAGCTGATGAGCTAACTCAACTAAGCTGATGAGCTAACTCAACTAAGCTGATGAGCTAACTCAACTAAGCTGATGAGCTAACTCAACTAAGCTGATGAGCTGTCTAACTCAACTAAGCTGATGAGCTGTCTAACTCAACTAAGCTGATGAGCTAACTCAACTAAGCTGATGAGCTAACTCAACTAAGCTGATGAGCTAACTCAACTAAGCAGATGAGCTAACTCAACTAAGCTGATGAGCTAACTCAACTAAGCAGATGAGCTGTCTAACTCATCTTCTCTGATGAGCTGTTTAACCAGATTATTAAATTCAAGTGTGTCCAGTACACACCCTGTTCAGCACACTACAATTAGTGTTCTGTAAAACCAACAACAACAATTAATGTGATTATTTATAAACAAAAATTCTAAAAGATATCTGAAGAAAATACAGCAGACAACAAAAAACAACTAAATTTGTTTTAACCAAGAGGTCAAGACAAAAGGTCACACAGATGTCTAGTCCAGTATGCATAAAGGACAAAACTCAAACATAAATAATGTAGCTACAAGGCTAAAGACATTACGAGTGAAAATATACATTTTTTTTTTTTAATGTACCTTTAATAAACTAACATGCAGGAGGTCAGGAAAAAATAGATTCCAGTCCGTGGAAACTAACAGGCAAATATAAAACACAACATGGAATAAGAAGGGGAGAGTTAACAAAGAAAGTTAATAAAACTCATCACATAAACTAAAGAAGAGAAGTTTAAAAAAGACAAGCAACTAATTGGAACAAAGGCAATGAGCAATTGCACAGACATTACATGGAAGTGGGCTGCTTTAGAGGTCATTGACATCAAGAGCACAATAGTCGCAGTCGTCCTCATGCGGGATGCAATTTTTGGTTATCTGAAGCACCACCCTGGCTTTTGTCAGGGGCTCTGATTATGGCCCAGCTATGAACCCAACGGCTGAAAGGGGTTTCTGGGACCTCTCTACGGGTGATCCTCATCCGCAGGGTGGCCCTTTGTGTCACCGGGTGTTTATCACTTGTGTGATATCCTGGTACACTTTGAGAGAGGAGAGAGAGAGAGAGAGAGAGAGAGAGAGAGAGAGAGAGAGAGAGAGAGAGAGAGAGAGAGAGAGAGAGAGAGAGAGAGAGAGAGAGAGAGAGAGAGAGAGAGAGAGAACTAAATAATGCCACATACACAAAAAGAGTATATGCACAAAATAAATGCTAAATCACTAAAACACACACACAAGAAATCGGCTAAATAACAATAAAACACCAAAGAGAAAGGGTGCGTAACTGATGACATTAAAGAAAATCAAACATTTTTAAAATGTCCAATCTGTGGTGTTGAGCATCTCACACGATAGCTGTCCGTAGATGTTCAAGAACATCATATAGCAAGGATGCTCACCGGATGTTTTAAAGAACACCACACATCAAGGATGCCTAATAGGAGATGTTCAACAGTTGATGTGAAAGATCATCTGATATGAAAGAATATCACCCATCAATGATGTCCAACCAATGATGTTAAAAAACACCACACAGAAGGGGTACCCAACAGATGTTAAAATACATTATCAAGGATATCCAACAGACAATGTTAAAATACATTATCTATCAAGGATATCCAACAGACAATGTTAAAATACATTATCTATCAAGGATATCCAACAGACAATGTTAAAATACATTATCTATCAAGGATATCCAACAGACAATGTTAAAATACATTATCTATCAAGGATGTTCAACAGACATTGTTAAAGAACCTTCCAGTAAGAGGGCAACAACAGGCCTAAAGTAACAATGAAAAAGCTGTGACTCGACAAATCAGACCCTCAATAATAAAACACACACATTTCTCTATAACATGGCCATCCATTAAAAATTTGTCAGACGACACAACTGTCTTCTATCTCTCAAATGAAATTCTTGAAAGCGGTATGCTCATGTTTACTCTTCTGCTTCTTCTTCTTCTCTTCCACCATTTACCTCAGCAAGGTGTTGGGGGGAGATGTAAGGGTTGTTTGCGCACTTTTTCCAATGCATTGTACAGGCTGGTGTTCACTTCTGTTAAGTTGCTTCTGATGGTGTCGCTCCATCTCTTGCATGGTCTTCTCCTTGCTCAGTGTTTATTCTATTTCTTCTGCGTGTTTACTGTCCCTGAAGCGAAACATCTTTAGCTCTCACAACATTAAGAGAAATTTAAAAACAAATTTGTTGTTTCAACCATATACTTGTCCCTTCATGGGTAAATAACCATTGATTTTATTTTCATGATTACAAATGGAAAGTGTAACAACAACAACATTGAATAAAACATTAAAACAAATTCTATATTTATGTCTCCTTTATCACTGAATACAAACAGTTTATTATTTCAGCTTAACATAAATCACACAACATGATCTTACCACATCTTTAATTAAAACATCTTGCTTTAGATAGCAATGAAAAACAAAGCTTGCTCTGTCATTAATTTTTAAAAATCTGAACTAACAACCATTCTTCACCGCACAAATAAAACTCGTAATTTCTTTACGCCGAGATTACAATGAAATTATGTCAAGCTAAAATCCATGGCCAGTCTAGCAGAGATTAACACTTCAATATCGCAAGTTTATCTTTAAGACAAAGAAACTGATATAATTATTTCCATGATATTCTTGCAACTTACTAGAAAATTTATTATAAACACAAACACACAGCATATTTATTGTTTAGACAAATTCTATCAGCCCAGACCCTATGTGTTTTAAATAACCAGTACATCCTGCGACAAACCACACATTGCTCCAAATTGCCTGTCATGCCCCTCGTTCCAAATTGCCTGTCATGCCCCCTCATTCCAAATTGCCTGTCATGCCCCTCGTTCCAAATTGCCTGTCATGCCCCTCGTTCCAAATTGCCTGTCATGCCCCTCGTTCCAAATTGCCTGTCATGCCCCCTCATTCCAAATTTCCTGTCATGCCCATCATTCCAAACTGCCTGTCATGCCCCATCATTCCAAACTGCCTGTCATGCCCCATCATTCCAAACTGCCTGTCATGCCCCATCATTCCAAACTGCCTGTCATGCCCCATTATTCCAAACTGCCTGTCTCAACAACAGTCCACCTCCCTTTTCTCCATACCCTGAAACAAAACACTTGACATTTATAATTCCTCTACGATCAATATTTGATCACCACCACACCTGTTATATCCACACTCCTCTCTGTGATCGGCAGCTGAACCGCTCGAAACATGGCCTTGATATCAATCATCCCCTTTAAGACCAATGTGTGATAAACACCACCTAAGACACACCCGTTATATCCACACTTCTCTCTGTGAACCATGCCTTTTATATCCACCCTTCCTCTAAGACCAAAGTTTGATAAACACCATTTGAGACAAAGCCTTTTTATGCACACCCTTTCAGCTGACGACACATTTACAAGGACTATGTTAAACACTCCATCAGCCTTTCAGCAAATTCTTTAAAGATTATAAAGCCACAATTGAAAGTTTATCAAGTGAATTATTTGCTTACACCCCCCCCCCCCACAAAACTAATTCAAAAATCAATGCAAGATTTGCTGGTGTTTCCAGATAATACTTCCCTAACTATTCAAACAAGGTTTATATTCAAAAAGACATTTTGTGCTCATCAATAAAACTGAAAAATTATAAAATAATATTCAAGAGTCAATCAAATTCAACTGGAGAATGAAAGTGCCTTCCAAATTTTGTTACTAATATTCTTTTTTTCTAGGGTACTCAATTCACAATGTTCGGTTTTCTGTTTTCTGGTAAGGGTAAACAACTCACAATGTTCAGATCTGGAGTTTTGTCATGAGATGAAGCTCATAAACATTCAAGTCAAAGTAAAAGACGATGATGATGATACAGACAAGACAAATATTTTGCTAAAAAAAACATCTTTAACACCAAAAGAAGCACAGAAAAATTTTTTTTTAACTTCCATATAAAAGCTGACTGAAACAGACAACGAAAAATGATTTAACAAAGCCAGCCCTCAACTGAGCACACACAGATGTAAAGAATGAACATACACGACAATATGACAGACGAATTTGCAAATGATAAAACATTTATTCATTTTGAAACATCAGATCTGAAAATGGGAATTAACAAGGCCAGTAAGTAAAACTGTCAAGGTTTTAAATCGAGAAGTGGAAGAGTTTTAGGTGTACGTATATGTCTATATGGCGCGGAGAGAGACTGATAACACACACACAAACAGGTAGTGCAGTAGTCAAAGAGACCCTTTCTTAGAAACCACCAAAGCCCATAAACAATATACAATGAAATGCAATTTTAAATTAACTAGAAGAAATCAAACCGGCTAACAAAATTCACTCCCAAATGTTGAGGGAAAAACATCAAAACAGAAAGACTCAAAAAGGTTGATATTCATTCACACATAACACACAACCCATGCCTTTTCTATACAACTGGAATTTTAAAACAATACTATAAGTAAAACCATAGTTTCTGGGCTGAAATTTAAAACTGTATAATGGTTTAAGCATAAATCAACCACCTGTACAATCTGTTTCTCCGCTAAAAATAAGACTGTACCAGAGGTTTCTATTATGGTATCCCCTTCAAAAAGTCTTAACATATAACCTACAAGAATGGTTCAAGAAAAGTTCACAAAATAAAAGCTGATTGACAAGAAGATAAAAACACAGTGCACAGTCAATGAGCTACAGATAAATACACAGGGGCTGGTACAACACCACAGCCAGGTTCCCTAAGTGAGGCGGTCACTTCACCTCTTTCACACCGCTGCTCTGCTTGCTCCTGGAGCCTGCATGACCTCGGACGCCCTGGAATTTGGAGCTGCTGCCGTGGCCTGTAGACTTGCCACTGCCAGAACCACTACTGTTGTTAATGCTGCTGCTGCTGTTGTTGGAAGTGGTGGTGATGCTGGCTGAAGTGGCTGGTGGCGGCGGCAGCTGATGCTGAGAAGGAAGTGGCGGCGGCGGCAGGGTGCTAATGTCAGTGTGCGGATGGCTGAAGGTCTGCTGCAAGTGAGGAGGAACAGATGGAGGCATTGGAGGCGGGTGCTGCAGCTGCTGCTGAAGTTGCTCAGGTGTGGGAGGACTCTGAGAGATCTGCACCGGCCCACCTGTTATGCTCAAGGGAGGAAGGACACTCATGCCATTGATCTTTGTGGGCGACACTGACCGGTGGTCAAAGCCCGCATATCCATTCTCATCACTGTAGCCATTCAGGTAACCGTTGCTATAGGTTACGCTGGGGTTGTGGTGCCCCCCACTGCCTTGCAGGTGGTGGTGTTGTTGCTGATGATGGTGATGGTTGTGACTGCGATGGTGAGGGTAGCCGTGATGAGACGACGCCGCATGCGCGGTAGCGCCATTACTAACACCATTGGCTACAAAACCACCTTTCCCACCAGAACTCTTCCCATAATAATGGTACCCACCGCCTCTCTTGTGCGTCATATGAGGAGGTTTTCTGCCCCGAGGGGACCCATCGAAACCAGGAGGAGGCGAGCCAGACATATTACAGTGCGCAGTTCCACTCATCCGAACTGCCATAGTAAAGCTATTAGGAGAGCCATCAGCATAAGGGCTCTGGACATGCACCTCCGTGGAGTTCACAGGATGCACCACAACCGTCTGCTTCTTCAGGTAGAGTTCTCGGGCATTCTCCACAAGATCGTCAATATCCAAATGTTCCGTCTGACTGTTCAAGTTGCCAGATGTCTGATCTTTCTTGGCCACTGTATGGTAAGAGCACTTTAAATCACCAAACCTGCAGTGGACAACATAACATCAACATAAGGACTGCATACATAACATCAACATAAGGACTGCATACATAACATCAACATAAGGACTGCATACATAACATCAACATAAGGACTGCATATGAATTCTAGCATGGTTACCACAGAAACAATGAAATCCTGATATAAATGATGCATCAATCTTTCTTCTTTTTCTTGTCTTTCACTTTAAACGGGTTACTGGATGTTGTGTTGCTGTTTACAGCTAGGCTGTGATATCTGCACTTATTATGGAGCAGTGACTTTATTCCCACAAATGAAGCCCAGAAACACAGGCAGGGAACATTTTCAAGAAAGACAGTCGGGAACAGACAACAATTATTTCTATCAAATACAGCTTTCTGAAAAGTATCATTGCAAAACCAAGCCAAAGACTAACAACGCGTGTCAATGCAGTCTTGAAGAACAGCAATAGAAGAATTTAAATTTAAATGAAAAGAAGCGAGCGTAAAATCCCAAAACAAGCACTGAAATGAGAAACAGAGGGTTTGAGGAAATGAGGTCATCCAGGAGAAACCAATGCAGCGAACAAACACTGCTGAGACAAGCCAGCGGCCCTGGACTAGATTCCCCCCCATGAAGTCGAAAGTGCGAAGGTCGGAACAGAATTTAGGGTTAGATGCAAGCTCTTTGTAATGTATAACTTCTTTCTATTCACCGGCTGTAAACTCTAACGGAAAGCTCTGGTTGTTCAACGACCTATGAACTTTTAGTCTTATTCCAGAACCTGAGTGTTGCATGCAATTGTTTTACAGATCTGGTTTATTTGCATGCAGACTATTGGTTCCTTACAGCTCAGGCAGATGCATTCTGGCTTTAAAATTAAGCCCTGAAATTGTTGACTCTTAGGACATGTTAGGGAGGCAGTGGATCTAAATGTCTTTCCCCCACAATATGATGCATAACACCAAGATATGATGATGAATTGAAGGAAGGCAGTCCCTGAATGATGGATGAGGCAGGGGTAGACTAACATGATAGCTGACAAAGAACATGAAAACTTTAAACAGGAGATCTGGTATAGAAGTGAGTCATCTGTTGGACTTTGATCAGAATGACACTCAGTAATGGGCTTAATATCTAATAACATCACGATCACTTTGGCAATTATATAAAACTCGCTAAGAACTTCTTTGTTCTTTCAATGGGAATGAGTAACTTTTGAATTGTCACTGCACGAAGGCTTTTTAGCTTCCTGTTGATAATGTGGGACTTACACCTTGCTTGGTTTTACTTTACTATTAAATTAAATACAGGAATATGTGGATTGATGCGATACAGGGACAGCAAACCCGGGAGATGAAATAGGTGCAGATACTGAGGTAAATGAAGCACTCTTGGGACGGTCTTGTGAGGGCCAAACATCAGGCTTGTGTTTTCAGTTAGTACAAAAAGCAGTCATTATTGAGCAGAACAGAGCAAATAAATAACAGCCTTTCGTTTAAAGACAGAGATAGAGCCTGCCACTGTAGCAACTGAAATTACTTTCCTGTATGGCACTTATAAAAGTTATTGTCTTGGATTCTCAACCTTCTTCATCTTCTTTGTTCACCAGCTGTAAGCTCTAGTGGAAAGTCCTGGCTGTTCGTCCATTTGGACTTTGTGCCAGGGCCTGAGTTTTGCATGTACAATCCGTTTTGCTGAATTATTGGTGTGCAGTTTATTGTTCCCTGTCGCTCGTGCAGACGCACTCCGACTCCAAAAGAAGCTCCCAGTTATTATACTCTTACGGCATGCTTTTCCTGGGCAGTCATTGAGTATATTCTTGTTTCCTCCACAAAATGGGTCCTGGAACCCACAAAGGGATCATGGATTCTCAGTCGAGAAACTGGTGGATTGAAAGAAACATGTTGAATCTACTGTCCGAGGTGGTGGTGAACCTTCTATTGAAGGAACATATTGAAACTATTCTTCAGGGATTATGGTAAAGCTACTTTACAGGGAACATCGTGAAACTCTGGCCATGTAATTTAGGGGATTATTATCTAGTGGACTAGGTGAACTAGGAAGCATGTGGATTTACTTTCTAGAGAACAAAGTGGATCTACTGTCCAGGGAACTAAGTGGATCTACTGTCCAGGGAACTAAGTGGATCTACTGTCCAGGGAACTAAGTGGATCAAATGACCAGAAAATGTAGGTGAATTTACTGTAAAGGGATCTTGGTGGATGTGCTGTTCAAGGAACTCACTACTGTCCAGGTCTTAGAGGAATGCACGCAAATGAGAGAACAAATTTTACAACTTTAAAATCACTTATTTGAACAAAATAAGATGGCTAGCTGAGGTATTCTCTGGGCAATAAATGGTCTGCTGAATAGTGAAATTTCTGATTACATCACTGACACTATGATAAAGTCATCTAGGTGACTGTCTGCGCTGACAGGGAGCTGCAATTCAGGTGTGGGACTGTTAGTGTTGGTACATCTGCCAGCTGCCTGATACATTTTTACTTTGAATTTGTAAGCTTTAAACATTTTGCCAGGACAGACAAGTATTTCACTAGTCTTCAAATGACCCACTTAAAGCAACCTCAACTATTGACCCACTTAAAGCAACCTCAACTATTGACCCACTTAAAGCAACCTCAACTATTGACCCACTTAAAGCAACCTCAACTATTGATCCACTTAAAGCAACCTCAACTAATGACCCACTTAAAGCAACCTCAACTAATGACCCACTTAAAGCAACCTCAACTAATGACCCACTTAAAGCAACCTCAACTATTGATCCACTTAAAGCAACCTCAACTAATGACCCACTAAAAGCAACCTCAACTAATGACCCACTTAAAGCAACCTCAACTATTGATCCACTTAAAGCAACCTCAAATAATGACCCACTTAAAGCAACCTCAACTATTGATCCACTTAAAGCAACCTCAAATAATGACCCACTTAAAGCAACCTCAACTAATGACCCACTTAAAGCAACCTCAACTATTGACCCACTTAAAGCAACCTCAACTATTGATCCACTTAAAGCAACTTCAAATAATGACCCACTTAAATGACAGTCTAAACATTATGGGCTTCCCTGAGCACAAAGACATTGATTCTTTATAAATTAAATCAACCACTGATTACACAAAACATGCAGTCAATTAGTACTAATTTTATACTCACTTGCAAACAACCTCTGTTGGATCAACCCAGAGGGTCAACTCAAAGGGCAAATTGAAATCTTTAACATTCACACCGACATCGTTGCACACTTTCTCAATGAGAGGGTCCAGGCACTCCTCCGGGTTTATGCGGATGCAACGATAAGCCTGGCCTTTTGTCGGGAAGCTCTCATGCCAGTGATTGCGAAACCTCTCTTCCAACAGGGCAGCCAGACGCTGTTTGAACTCGGCAACCTTCTCCTTCTTTATGTTGTCGTGAGCAAGGAAAATCTTTGACAGAAATTCCGTTGCCGCATTTATCTCTGCTTTCATCTCACTAAGGAGACACAGTCCGAAAGGGAATACACAAAAAAGTCTCTGGGATTAAAATTCCTCTCCAAGTGTGTAGTTTCAGGTGCGGCTTGCACTTTAACTGTGATGCTAGCTGTCGCCTGCAACTTCCTTTCCGTATGCTGCGTCCACGGACTGGTGGTGGGTAATGTTTAAAGAAGCTAAGCCTACAAGATTGAGTCCCTCCTTTGTCCAAGCTGAAATTTGCGGTGCCCAGAGTCGCCACCGTAGCTGGTAATCGGGGCACCAGGCCAAGGTTAATTCCTTCTGTGAGGCAGACAGTTCCTGAGTGTGGACAATGCTCACGCCCGGACGTTTGCATTAAGACAGATGGCGGGACGCTGAGCCCAAAACTGATGACAGGTATAGCATTTCCAAAGTTAGCACAGCTGCAGAAAAATCAAAACAACGAAAGTCAGCAAGCTAGTAATAATGAAAATAAAGAATGCCTTAGCTTTTACAAACAGTAAAAGTTTTTGTTTTTTTTAAACCAAGTCTTGTAGTTTTACAGAAAGGAGTTGCTTAAGTTTTTACATTCATCAAAAGTGTTATTTTTTTAGCTCTCCTCCAAATCAGTAAAAGCCAAAACATGGCATTTTAACTTTCTTACAGTGAAAGCAAACATATGTGCATTCAAGAGAGGTTTTTCTTGTCTTGTTAGACTCATGTGCCGTTTCATCATTTCTATTTTTAGCAAGGCAAGCCAACACACATGTCAGCAACATTTCACCTCAGGTAGGCCATGAAAGATTAGCTGTTGTTTCACCAGCACAAAGACATCCTTCTTAGCATGAATTATTGTATGATAATTAACATGCAGCATGAGGAAAACAATACAGACATGAGACAAAAGTCACATAAACATATGAGCAAACAAATATTCTTATGCAAAACAAAACCTTGAAGGTTTGGTAAAGCAGTTATCTCATCTTGTTCTTGGCGGGGAAGTAAAATTGAGAATATGTCAGTTTACCATATTTTAACTTAGTATATGTGAAATAATTTGTTCTCCTTTATGTTCACCAGCTGTGAACTCTAGGAGAAAGTTATGGTTATTTATCTATTTCTAGACTTTAATCTTGTTCCAGAATTTCAGTGTTGCGTGTACATCTATTTTAGAGATCCGTCTTATTAGAATACAGACTGTTGGGTCTTTGGCACTCTCAAGCCGAGGCACTCCGACTTTGAAGGAAGCCCGAAATTAGTCAACTCTGACTACATGCTTGTTGGGAAGGCTGTGGGTCTATTCTTGTTTTCCCTACAATGGGGCCCCGGAACCCAGACGAAGATGTATGTGAAATAAATCACAACAGCTGCCTCGTGCATCTGCTGACCATAGTGGAATCTATAAACCCCAGTGTGACGACACAAAGAAAAAATATTGGGGGGGGGGGGGGGGGGGGAAGCACTCAGTCTTACAAATTGTCTTGGGGGGGGGGGGGGTAATCTTATTTCGGTGTGTAATAATAATGAGATGTGTACCACGTAATGTCCTCAGAAGTAGAAGAGGCTAGTGTGATGTTGGCCACTGATGCACCACTGGTGTGAAAAGGGTTCTTCACTTAACTTTCATTTCTGTGAATTCTCAATGAGTCATAAGCTTAAACCAGTGCAAGGACCACTATACAACAACTGTTTATGAATTAAAAGAATATTACTACTACGTATTTAACTCATTCAAGATCCCCTTGTGGGTTCCGGGGCCCTGATATAGGGAAAACAAGAACAGACTCACTGCCTACCCAAAAGCATGTAATAGTCGACTAATTGGGAGCTTCTTTCAAAGTCAGTGCATCTGCCTGAGAGGCAAGGAACCAGCAGTCTGCATAAAAAATGAGTCAGATCTGTCAAACGAATGCACATGCAACACTCAGGCTCTGGATCATGACTCCCAGGTCTCCCAGTGCTCTTAACCATTTGGCTAGCTGCTCCTTGTTCATTCCATTACTAACACACATGATTTATAACAGAAACTACTAATGTTTTAATTATAGTATTGTTTATTTCCTATTTATTAAAATTAAAACTTGGGAGGCATGGAAATTTCCAAGTGACTGGCATTGTCCCCATTTAGAAGAATAAAGGGGACACAAGAGACAAAATTATACAGGGGTATCTCCATCCTGAACCATACTGAAAAGATGTTTGCACAAATACTGGAACTTAGAGCTCGACCAGTACTAGAGCCCCAGTTAAGTAAGAGACAGTTCAGGAAGGAAAAGTGTTGTACATATGCAAATACAATATTTTCTTTAAGGTAGATAGGTCAGCAGTCTATTGAATATGATATGTCAACACCTTATAATCACAGATCAAGAGAAGGCGTTCAATGGAGTCCAGAGATGCAAACTATGAAAAATTCTAAAAGATTATGGCTTTCAAGTCAACTGTTGGGTAACATCATGGCTCTTTACCAAGATAGTGCACAGTAAGAACAACAGAAGGAATGACAGACGTGGTTTCCCATATCAGGTGTCAGACAGGAATGTGTCCTCTCATTACTTACATGGATAGAACACAGGACGCAAATACAGACATTAAAGAAATCAATGAACTTCATTTTGCAGATGATCAATGTCTAATACACCACCAAGAACACAATTTACAACAATATACTGACTCCTTACATCAAGCCTGGAAAATGTATGACATGAGAATAAACACTGCAAAAACTGAGGTAATGATGATAGGCAGGAAACATAATAATATGAACGTTCACATTAACAGTACTATAATCAAACAAGTACAAGAATTCAAATTTCTAGGAAGCATATTTACGGACGATGGCAGACTATATAGAGAGATAAGAAGCTAGAGTGAGTTAGTTGGGTTATCATTGCACTCCGAACATGTCCATAGGTGCTCAGATCCTCCCCTCAGTATGAACCCAAACGTCCGATGGCTAATAATACCAGTTCTATGTTGATTAACAAGTCTTCTGGTATGTCTGGTGTTCGTCTTTTTTTGCTATGCCGATCTTAATTCCCACCCAAGTCTGCCATTCTGGCGAGCGATGGGAATTCACTGCCTCCAAAGTCCTCTGTCCTTCCCATTTCTCTGAGGGCAATAATAATAATAGCGCGCTCCATAGGCTGACCGCCTATAGTGATAGCGGACACAGTCAACCTATCAGCTCTTTCATTTCCATCGACGCCTGTGCCTAGACGAGACAGGGTTACGAGCACCAGCACAAGGGAGAAAGTTGGAATAAGACCATGTCTGGATTATTTTGACAGACAAAGAATTAAATAATTCAGCTATCTAGTGAGAATGAAGCCAGACCAGACTGCATATGAGACTTAACAGCAGAACATCTGGGAGGAAGGTGAGAGGAAGACCAAGAAAGAGATGCAGAAATTGTGTAGCAAAACCTGTAAAAAGATTAACAAATCCGTCACTCAAGCAACCCAAGAAGTGCAAGACAAGTCAAATAGGCCTACATAAAACCACGACACAGGGCTACAACCTGGTATCACTATCGGTAATATTTCATCTGCAAGACGACAAAAGAAGAAAAGGTTAATATTAATTACAGACCTACTGTGCACAAAAGTAAGATGAAAGCTAATACAATTTACTATATTCAGTATTATTTTTGCATGAATGTATTGTATTTTTAAATAAAACAGCTAACGTTCAGAGTAACTACACTACTATAGACTACAGTGTATATTACTATATTACTATTTCAACTATTTGTGTAGTGTCTATACTCATCATTTCATATAGTAATACAGTCAGCCATTTGATGATTGATGATATACCATTATACCATTTGGTAAAATACATGAATGGATGAAGAGGTTCTCACAGTAGCATGTGCACAGAATCCAGGTAACTAACAATTAACATGATTTAACAAAACATCTGACTCAGGTACAGTGACTCAAGCGTCAAAGTCATCCTCTACTCACCATGCTGACTGGCCTTAACAACGTTACCTGTGAGAAAGTGTTGCTAGTTCACTAACGGAAGTCGGGACAAGGAAAACAGATGATAACGGTTTCCTGTTACTCAACACTCACAAACCGACCCCGTTATGTCCTCGTCACATCATGCTCAGATAATTATTTCTAGTACTTCTTGTTTCTTCTACCTGCGCTTGTAGTTCTTTAACAAACTTGTGTATACATACCACCTTTGTTTACTAATAAGTTTAATAATTAATTATTAAAAATAATAGACGTATTAACTATTATTTAGTTTTGGTTTGTTGGGTTCAAAAGCGAGACTTTAATCAGTCTGTAGTTCTCATGCAGAATATACACATAGACAAAGACATTTCTGATAGATTACTTATTCAAAATGACAAGGAAATCTTGCCCAGCTGGTTAACCTTGCTGCAGAAAAACGAAGACTTGCAACAAAGACTACGCAAAATACAAAAATAGACACACCATTCCGCCATGACAGTCCTGCTAACTTCTAGAAACAACCAACAGGAAACGTTTTCGAGTGATCAAATCCCGGATTTACTGTGTCTTCTGCACTGTCTAGGCTAAAGATGAAGCTAAGATACTAACCCCAAACGGAATAAAAGCGGATAAAATGAGCGAGGAATGGAAATAAACACACAAGTACCCGTGTCAGCCCGAGCAGACGTGTTTTGCTTATGTCCAATAAAATGTCGACATTGATGTAGTGGCGCCACCTGGGGTTAGTCAGAGTTCAGTTCTCTTGCACGGTTAACTCATGTCGGGCGTCGTTAAAACCGCTCATTTTTATAAATCCCTCTCGTTTTTTCCCTGTTCGTAATTGTATCATCATTCATTTGTGTCGTATACTGATAAAGGCTTTCTAGCCACCGAGTTCATATTGTCATTTGTAGATGTGATTTGGTGAAGCTGACTAGTTCTACTTCTCGTTTGTATTTATTTTGCATGATATTTTGTTTGTATCACATGTTGTGTAATAGTTAGTTTGGTTGTTGTTAATCTCCACCCAGTATAGGACGCAATTTTTTTTAAAGCCCCAACCCGGCT